GGCGGGGGCAGAGCTGTGGCCGCTGGGCAGGCTGAACCACGGGGCTGAGGCTCCACGGCTAGAGAGGCAGGAGCCAAGGATGCTCCGGAACATGTGGGCTGTTTGTTGGCATTTTCGCGTTTCCCATCTCCCTTACTCTGTCAACTGGCTGCATCCAACAACAAAACCTGCAGCCCAGCCCTCTCCCCATGACTATTCACTGCCGGGCAGGCCTCGGCTTGCCCAGGATGTGTTGGACGGCACCAAGGAGGCTGGGGGGGTGCGGGGCTCGGGGACACTCTGCCTGCACTGCTGAGCCCCCGCCCCGGGGACACGCAGGGCCACCGCCCTCCTGTGGGCAGCAGTGCAGCCCCAAGCCCAGCCCGAGGGACCTTGGAGTCCAGCGCCCAGCCACCCCAGGGGGAGACATGGTGCTGCCAGCCTCCTGCCCAGGGAACTGGGGTCCATGGGGAACGGAGAAGAGGCATGCACCAGGAGACCTGTATCTCTGCATCCCTGGTCTCAGCACCCTAACAGGCCGCTGACTCACCTGCTGGGCACCTAAAGACAGTCCTGCCGGCCATGCCGCCTGCCCTTGCCACGCCCTGATGCAGGGACCCCTGGGGACCCCATCCCAGCCACCTGGTTAGCACCACTCCCTTGTGGGAGTGTCTGTTTCTCCACTCTATTTTAACGCTCTTTGGCGCAGAACTGCCCTTGGCAGAGGGTCCAGGACCTCCCTGTAGGCACGCAGGGGACAGCATTGAGAGCCGTGACTCCCAGCCATCCATGCCAATTGCCAAGCCTCCTCCCTCCTTCCCGGCAGCTGTGGCTCCAACAGAGGGCTGCTGAGCCACGGATGCTCATTCCGGGGCCACGAGAAAAGACGGCACTTGGCACTGGCACTGTCCTACCAGAGGCTGGGCTAGGAGACATGCTCAGGGCCTGGGACCCAAGGAGGGCAGGGCGAGCCTCAGTCTGCACGCAAAGCCCTGATGTCTCCATGTGGCCAAAGCTGAGATCTCAGGTCACAGTGAGACAGAAGAGAAAAATGAGCTTGGTTTGAAGACAAAGGCAGCCTGGGACGATGCCCATAGGGGTGTTCAGTGGGCCCTGGAGAAGCCTTGGGGGACCCGCAGCCTCCTTCCCTGGTCACGGGGCGCTCTGGCTTCCAGAATTAGGATGGCTCTGTCCAGGGAGGCACAGAGGCCCTGGTTTGAGTCCCACCCCATGCAGAGCGACACAGAAATTGTCAGCTCTGGGCACCATCTCAGGAGATGGGTGGAGCAGGACTGGTAAGGCCCCAGCACAGGGCGCTTGTGGCCCTGCAGCTCCCATGGGTAGAGGGGGGATGGGGGTAGGGACACAGGGGCCCCGAGAGCAGGGAGGGACCAGCTGGGGGCATCTCAATCCACAGCACCCTGGCATCCTGGCCCCTTAGAGGAGGGGGATGGACCTGGGGGGGTTGTCCCCAGTCCCCAGAACTGCCCCACCCCCAGCATGGCCTGGCTGCCTCCCCCCACCCCCAGCAGCCCTCAGCACCTGCTTCTTTTTTCTTTACTTTGCTTTTGTTTAGCTTTGGTTTTTGCATCCCTGCAGCTGGAACCTAGGGCCTCTCACATGCTAGGCAAGGGCTCTGCAATGGAGCGACACCCTCAGACCTTTCTAATATTTAATTTTGAGACAGGGTCTTGCTAAATTGCCCAGGCTGACCTTGAACTCCTGATCCTCCTTGCCTCAGCCTCCTGAGGACCTGGGATCACAGTGGGCACCACCAGGACTGGCTGGGCACCAGCTTTGCATGTCCCACCCACCAGGACTCCACCTCACAGGTCCCCCACAGGACACGGGTGGCAGGGCTGAGAACCAGCACCTCGCACTGGGCAGGCAGCCTCAACCCTGTCTGTCTCAGGAGACTGGACTGAGAGCTGGGACCCGCGCAGTGCCTGGGGTCTGGGTGGACTCCCGGCCCTGGGTGCCCTAACCTTCCTTGGGCTGAGTCCCCTTCCTGGGCCTGGGGAGAAACCACAGAGGCTCCCTGGCGAACCCCCCACTCCTGAGCTCTGACTCTGGCATGTGACCCCTGCTTGCTCCCACAGGCCCTGGGGCGGAGGCCAGGGCCTTCTGTCCTCTGCTCCCCCATCCAGCTCCACCCCCACAGCAGCTGTTGCCAGAGAAAGGCGGCAGGAGAGGCGGGAAGAGCGAAGATGAGGAGGGAATGGCCCGGCCACTGCTGAGGGTCCAGGAGGCAGGGGAGGGCAGCTGTTGACAGAGACCCGAGGCCTGGCCTGTACTGACTCCCTGGTCCTTGCTCCCTCTCCTGTCCAGGCTTGCGTCCACTCTAGTGTGTCCCATGGCATCCTGAGACTGGGTGGGAGGGGATCGTACCTCAGGGAGTCCTGGGTCACAACCCCCATGCTGGCTCTTGGGGGCTCCATCCTCTCCTGAACCTCCCGAGGACACCATGGACAGCACCCAGAGCCCCAGGCCTTCCTGGGTCACCCCCAGCTCAGCTCCTCTTACAGGACTGGGCTGTTGGAGAGATCTCTGAGCCTTATGGGCCAGCACCGAATCCCCCACCGAGGACAGGGACCTGCTGGCCAGGACCACTGGGGTGAGGGGCATAAGCTCCAGACATCACCCCACCCCTCACCCCAGCATCTGTCCCCTGCTCCCTGCCTTCAGGACCTGGAACCTCTTGGTAACCCCATTTTACAGTTGAGGAAGCCAGGAGGGTCACTGAGAGTTCAAGGCCAGCAGGAACTATACAGTGAGATCCTTTCTCTAAAGTTAAATCTAATTTAAAAAATAAAGGTCCCAGGGCCAGGGATTTAGCTCAGTGGTACTGTCACCTGCCTCACAAGCACAAGGTTCTGAGTTCAATTCCCCAAACCGTAAAAAAATAAATAAATAAAGGGCCCCAAGACTGTCCAGCTGAGAGTCCACGGTTTTCCAAACCCGGGTAACCTGGCCTCCAGTCCCCCATACCCACCATGGCCTGGGGAACCCCATGTCTCCTGCAGTGGCCACATAGGGCTCCCCCAGGAAGCCCTTGCTGGTTCCAGGCCCTGGTTGACAGCTTCCCCGAGGGGCCTAAGGACCAGACCCTTCCACCCACAGGACCTTCACTGCCACTCCAGGTCCCCCAACCTGGAAGCTACTGCAGCAGGACTGGACATCCCACCCACCCAGGGTCAGTCCACTGAGCCGTGCCCCTGCTGTCAGCAGGAGGGCTGGACAGCCACTCAGCAGCCCGAGGGACTGCTTTAAAAATGGCGCCCACATGCTTGCAAGGTGTCTGGCTTGCAGCGTGGCGGTGCTGTCTTGCTAGATCCTCCGTGACCGACCACAGTGTGAGCTCCACCTTTTGGCACACATAGCCCTGGGGAACATTCGTCACACCTCCTGGGGGCCCCTTGAGGAATCAGCAACCCCAACTCCTGGCCTCAAAAGCGGGGGGACACGAGCCAGGGAGATGGCCAGCACCTTGACAGCTCCTCCAGAGACCCCATGTGCTGCACCCGCACTCCCTCCCCAGGCCAGGACCCCACCACACCCCAAGAACTGCTCCTATAGGGGCACCAGGGCTGCAGTGTGGCCTGTGCTCTCCTGCCCTGGGGGCGCTGGGCCTGTGCTGTGCTGGGAGCTCACGCTGGCCGCCACTGTGCTCCTGCTGTCCCCACAGGGGTGCTCACACCATTCTCGCCTCTCCAACTTAATAAACAGCGTGATGGTGACATCCAGACCTGATCTCTCTTTTCTGCCCCGGTCAGCTCCAGCTCCTGCTGCAGCCAGGCCAGGCCTGTCACCATCACTGTCACCCCAGCTTCAGCCCTGACCTTGGTGTGAGGCTGCCGTCTGGGGACTGTGGGCATAGGCGTCAGGAGGAGGCCCAGGGAGTCCCCACCTCGAGAGCCGAGCTGCGCCCCAGGAACTCGGGCATGGCTCTCCCTGGCATGTCGCTGCCTGACCAAGTGGCCATGTGCAGAGGCACAGGCCCCACCCCGTGACCCTGTGGCAGGGCATCCTGGGATGGGGCGGTGGCACGGCTCCTCTTTCTCCAACAGCCCCAGGAGTCCCTGCTGCACAGCTCTGTGCCGTCAGACCCCTGTCCTCTCAGGGAACTGGGTTCTGGGTCCTCCTCTTTGTGGCCTGGTGCCAGCAGCTGTCCTCTGGACCTGATATCCAGGATAAGGGAGGGAAGGACAGTGTCCCCCCTCACTGCGCAGGGCAACACCACCAGTCGGATCCCCAGCCCCCTGCCCCTGCCTCTAACTCTGTTTCCTCATCTGTAGAATGGGAATCTAACAGACACCAGGCCAGCAAGCTGTCCGGTGGCCAGCCACACCACCAGTAGCTTGGAGGAGCAACAAAGGGGCTTCCGACTGCCCTCCTGTCTGCCAGCAGCAGAGGGCTGCAGCAGCCTGGTCATGTGGCCTCATGGTCCCCACCGCTCCTCGGGTGCCACCCCCCCATGGCCTCGGGCAGGGTATACTGGGAGGCTCTGGCTTCTGGGAGGAGCTTTAGGGGACGGGGGCCAGGTCCTGCACACTCCTGGCTTGCAGAGGGTCCCTTGAGCAGGATGGGACGTGGGGCTCAGAGATGGCTAGTGACCATGTGCACACCTGTAGGAGGCAGGCCTGCTGGGCTACTGGAAAGGAGGGCTCTCTCTCCAGGGCACGGGGGTGCCGGCAGGGCTGGGTCCCCTCCACCAGAAGAGGTGGACAGCTCAGGGGGAGCTGGGTACAGGGAACGCTGCAGCCATGCAGCACTTGGACCAGCCATACCTGAAGCCCTTCCTCCCCAAGACCTAGCCGCACCCAAGGCCTTCCTACCTTGGGTCTGGCCATGCCCGGAGCCTATTGGACCTCTGTGCTCATAGTTACCCCAGCCAACGTACTTTGCAATTCAGCTTCCTGGCAGACCTGGTTTGGCACCTGAGGGCCTGCCCATACTGCGGGCACCCATGACTGTCAGGCCACCTCAACTGCCCCATGTCCCCTCCTCCACCGCACACTCACCATGACAGGAGTGGTCATGTCCTCCAGGTGGAAGACGTCCATGCCGGCCTCCGTACCGCCCACCGCTCCCGTGTTCCCCTGTCTGGCCTGTGAGAGGTCGAAGTAGGTGCTGTCTGGCTCCCTGGGCCGGGGAGAAGGACACAACCATCAGTATCCAGCTTGGGCGTCCCTCAGATGTCCTGAGCCCTGTCCCCTCCTGCCCCTCCCACTCTGGTCCTCCACCTGAGCACACGGCTGGTGGGAGAATGCGGAGGCATGGCAACACATGGGCTGGCTCTCAGCCCCTCCTGGCCCCAGAAAGAGCCCAGCTCCAGCCCTGAAGGCCCCAGGAGCACAGCCCGGCCCCCACCCTACTCCAGCCAGTGGGGCTGAGGGTCCTACTCACAGTGAGCTCCAGAGGTGTTCAAAAGTGGAGCCCTCATCAGGGGCAGTGGAGGAGGCCTGGGCCATGTCCTGCACGCCGCTGGCCATGAGGCTGCTCACGCTGGGGAGAGAGGATGCGTGAGGCTCAGACACGCCCCCAGGGGCCAGGCTGGCAGGGACCCCTGGTGCTCAGGCCTGGCACCCTGCCCGCACAGCCCCCTTGGCCCTCTGCATCCAGCCCGTCCTCCAGGCCAGGCAACTGAGGCCAAGGTGGCAGTCAGGCCTGCACTCGGGTCTAGCCCAGGATGCTGGGGGCAGGAGCTCGCCGAGCACCCCGGAAGTGAGGCAAGAGCCACAGCCCTTCGCATGGCTGCCGTGGGCCCAGGAGAGGAACTGAGAGTGCCTGGGCCTCTGGGGGAGCTGTAGGGTCACTACTATGAACCCCGAGGCTGTGGACGGGGTGGACAGCCCAGGTTTGGGGCTCCCCGACACTCACCCTCCTGGTAAGAGCACGCAAGGGACACCCCAGGCTAAGGGTGGCCTGGGGCCTGACTCCTCCCACTGTGCCTCTGTGACGAGTCTGGGATCCTGAATCCCCCCACCCACTGTGGAACCACAGGCTGAGGACAGGGACCCGGCATGGAGGGTGGGGTGCCTGGGCACTGGGTGCCACTGGCCTCTGTCCCCATTGTGGCCCCACCATGGCCCTGACTACCAAGAAGAGCCAAGGCCCTTGTTCTGTAGCAGGAGGGAGGGAGGGAGGAGAGCCCAGGCCCATGCTGCCCACTGCCCCCACCTGCCGTGGAGATCAGTGTGGCCGCGCCCTTCAGTTCCCAGGCCGGCAGGCCCAGACACGCCTGGGGCTGGCGGGGCGGAGGCCATGGCCTGTGAGCTGCCTCTCTGCCCTGGTCCCCAGGCAGGCGGCACTGAGGGAGGCCAGAGGCACTCTCCCAGGGCCGACGTGTGGGCCAGGCCATGGTCCTGTCCCCTCCACACAGAGGCCCATCCCAGGCTCAGAGGTAGAAGCCGGCAAAGGTCCCGCCATCCCTCTCACTTCACCCTGGGGTCCTTGGGAAGGCTCTGGCTGGCTCCCCAGTGTGGATGTGAAACCAGGCCCAAGATGTCGCCTCCCAGAACTCACTTCTGGGAAATGTGCAGAATCCACAGTCAGAGGGACAGGAGGGAGGGCAGCCACAAGACCTGGCTGTCCAGGTTAGGACAGTGCTGGGGACAGGCACAGATGATGGCCCAAATGCCAGAAGCCCAGGAGTCAGTCCCTTTCACATGTTAAGTGATGTCAGGTGAATTTCATGGCAATACAACTCAGTTTGGGTACTGGGGATTGAACCCAGGGCCATCATGGGAGCCACATTCCCAGCTCTTTTTTATTTTTTATCTTAAGACTCTAAGTCTCAAAGTTGCACAGCCTGGCTCCAACTTGTGATTTTGCCTCAGCCTCCCAGAGTGCTGGGATCACAGGTGTACACCACCATACTTGGCTCATTTTTTTAAATTTAAAAATTACAAGGTGGGGGTGTTGTGAGTTGTTTTGGAGGTTCATTTGGCCACCTGGAGAAAACAGATCTGTCCTCACGCCTGTCCAACTCCTCACCACCAGCTGACATCCCATGCTGGGCCAGGGATTGGGACTGATGTCTCAACCTTCGGTTAAGGTCCTTGAGCCCCCATCCCGCACTTCTGTTGAGCAGCCTGGGGGACAAGGCTGGGGGCCTGCCCTCACCCCTGAAGCCTACTCCACCAGGACCCGCAGGGACGGCTCCACACACACTGGAAGGTAGCAGGTGCCCTGGGCTTGGAAACGAATCAAACACTGGCCTAGGACTTGGTGATAAGGGGCGCAGGGCTCCAGGAGCAAACTCTGCTCATAACCCTACACCCCTGCCTCCACTGTGCCCACTCCCTGCATGGAATGCCCAGAGCCCCTCCAGCTCACCTCGGGTGCCTCAACCCCGCTGTGGCCACACCTCTCCCCAGCCCCTGTCTGCAACACTCCCTTTTGCCCCAGGCCCTCAGAGGCCCCTCAGTACCCAGATCCAGGTTCAGAGGCCACCACTGCCTGGGAGAGTCCCTGTGTCCAGCCTGGTGGCCCTTCCCTGGTTTCTTCTCACTGCTCATGGTACCCCATTGCCTGCTTCCTGCTCTGTGAGCCTGTGACTATCTCCCCAGACACACAGGTCAGAGACAGAGATGGAGAGACACAGGAGAGATGGAGCTGGAGAGACAGAGGTGGGGGGGGACAGAGAGAGAAACAGGGATGGGGGACAGAGAGATAGAGGGGGTCAGAGAGGGGGACAGTGGGACAGAGATGGAAGAGAGCATGGGCTACCCGTGTGCCCCTGAGCCCAACACCTGGGGTCATGGCAGTGGCTCCTGCCCCAGTTAGGGTCACAGCAGTGCACTATGCCTGTGCCATGTGCCCAGAGTGGCATCATTTGAACTCTCCCTCCGTAGTGCCTGACCTGGCCCAGCTTCCCAGCACTGGGCCTTGCTCAGCTCACTGACCCCTGCACAGCACCCGGCCACAGCCCAAGCCTCTGCTACCACCACAGGAGCACCAGCCAGTGCCATCCCACTTGGGGTGGAAGGCGGCAGAGGGTTGCAGGCCCCACATGTGTGAGTCTAGCACACAAAGTCCTCACTCAGGCTGCCAGGGTGCGGGACCTAGGGCCGGCCCAGGACTCTGCACAGCCTCCCTCCAGGCTTGCCCACCAGGTCTCCCCTGCCCCCCTTCAGAAAGCCACCCCCCACTGGGATCCACTCCAGTTCCTCCTGTAAAGAGGGTCCAAGGCAGGAGTGGTTGTGTGCGCCTGTCATCCAGCACTCGGGAGGCTGAGGCAGGAGGATTGCTTCGAGTTTAAGGCCAGCTAGAGCTATGGATCAAAACTCTGTCTTAAAAATCACAGAAACAGGGGCTGGGATGTAGATCAGGGGCACAGGGCCTGTCTGGCAAGCTCGAGGTACCGCCCCCAACAAATAAATAAATAAACTAGTGAAGAGAAGAGGGAAAGGGACATGGAAACCGAGCAGGATGGACTTACAGGATGCCAAAGAACAGGAACTGAAAAGTTTCCACCCTCCCTGGAAAACTGAAGCAGGCACTCTCAGTCAGACCCAGGTCCCCACAGGGACTCAGGGACAAGGCATTGCTCTGGTGGAATGGTGCCACCCAGAGGCCCCACAGGTACAGACCCATTTCAGGGCCCAGCCCCACCTGCAGCCCCACTCTCCTGGCCCTGTAGCAGGGACCTGGATGCCACATTTCTGGCAGGAGAAGAAACCAGCAAGATCTCCACAGCCCAAAGCCAGGCCTGCGCTGGGTTCCGGCTCCTGGGTTCCAAAATGGTCACATCCCGAGGAGTCCAGGGGTGGGTGTGATGCAGGCCGGGGAGGTGCGGCACCGGCAGCTGGCCTCTCCCTGGCCGGGGACACCAGAGGCCCCATCCCTGCCTGAGCTCCCAGAGCTGGCACAGTCACCCACTGGCTGGCTCTGCTGTCTCAGTGAAGCAGCCTCAGGCTCTGGTTTTCCAGTCATCTGGAGTGGAAGGGCGGGGGTGTCTGGGCCCCACTGGGCAGAGAACAGGGACGCCGTTGCATGACACCTTCATGCCCAGGAGGCCTGAATGTCAGGTCTATGGCTTCCACAGTCCTGGCTGGTTTTCCACAGGGTCCCCGGATCCCACACCAGCCAGTTCAGGGATGAGCACGCAGAGACCCAAGAGACTTGCCCGAGTGACTCAGGTCTCTGCTGAGCATGGTCTGTGGCCAGCCTCCCTCCACCCTGCCTGCCCACCTGCTTTCATTTTCTGTGACTTCCTGACCATAGCCAACCCTCCTCCTGGCTGTCCCCGCACATCCCCGCACATCCCCTCACTGGACCTCTGTCCCGTCCCCTTTGTATCCCCGTCCACGTACCCGGCTTGTGCTGACCCCACCCCATCCTCCAGGCTGGACTCCACCACCGGCTGACACTGAGCCTTGGCATCACTAGTCTGCCTCCTCAAAGCCTGGTGGGAACTGCGGACACAGGTGTCACCGACTCAGGTGAGGGTGAGGCCTCTGGTCCTCATTCCCCAACCAGTCACAGACAGGGCTCAGAGACCCCCACCCTGGCCAGAGCCCACAGTGAAGGTGGCACCGTCCTTGGGTCCCACCCCCACCGTGAGGGCCCCCACACACCACCCTCTTTCCATGGACCCTGAGCAGGGCTGTCCACGTTCTCCCACGGTTAGCAGGGACAAGTGGGAAGGGCCCTCCCTGCCTGGCCTCCCAGCCTCCTTCCTGCTCGGTGATGCTGGCCCCGCCAACTGCTGCCTTCAGGGAGCCAGAGAGACTGAAACCGCAGCATGGCAGGGCCCGCATCACCTCTGCCTGCTCTCAAGGGGACCCAGGAGGCCTAGAGCCAAAGAGCCACTTGCTGGCAGCAACTCAGGCCGAGTAAGCAGACACGAAGCCACATGGCCCTGCCATGAAGGGGCCACACTTCCGGGCAGCGGCAGGGCCCAGTTTGGTAGGAGGCTGGAGCCCCCGGCCTCCCCCAGGCTGCTCTCACCGGCCGGGTGCCTCTTCTCAGGCCGGCTGTGGCCTCTCCTCCTGGTCTCTCGGGTCTGGCCGGTGGTGGCCTCGATGCCTACTCCTGAGGGGACAGGAGAAGCGCAGACCTTGTGCTGGGGCAGCCAGAGCCGCTCCTGGTGGGCAAGAGCCCCCCGCTGCCTCTGTGGCTTCCTTGGTCCCCGGAAGGTGAGGACGGAGACAAAATTAGCTGCCCACCCTGGCAGGGCAGGGCGCCGTGTGAAATGCAAACACTGCCAGGCACCCACAGGGCGGCCTCCCTCCTGGGCCGACGCCACGGAGGGGGATGGGAGAGGGCAGACAGTCCCTGGCCACCTTCTTCCAGTGTGGGAAACTCTGAAGTCACCGAGTTCTGTTCCAATCCAGGGCCTGGCTCAGTGTCTGCGTGAAGCAGGCAGCCACCCTTGGGCCAATGGGGCACTGGGGGTGACTTCGGGAAGGAGACAGAGGGTGACCAGGCCCATCTGCAGCACACCAGACCCCCAGGCAGAGGGGCTCGGTTGCAGCCAGATGAAATAAATCCCAGAGCCCCTAAGTCTCCAGACAGCTGGTGACCCCATGACACCCCAGACAGCAAGTGCGACTGAGGCTGGTTTGCCCAGAGGGAGACAGACACAGAGAGGCCAGGCAGCCCCTGCACGCTGCCAGGCCACCTCCCACCACATGTCCGGCCTGACCCCGGCCACATCCAATCATGCCAGGAAAGGGCACTGCCCCCTTGGCCCATCCCCACCCTGCGTGCTGAAGTCCTGTTGGGACACAAGCACCACTGTGAGGCTCTACACCAACCGGGCGTGGACCAGACTCCCCCTGCACCCTGTGAGAGCCCCTCTGCCACCCTGAAGTGGAGTGGCCTTGGGCAGTGGCGTCCTCCTCCGTGAAGCAGGGTGACAGTGATGCAGGCCCCATGTCAGTGCCACCTGTGAAGACACAGCCCTGAATGGGAGGGTGCTGGCCTGGCACAGACACAGTGCGGACACAGGGCACCATGGGGTCGAATAAGCCAGGCCCCAGCAGAGGATACAGGGCAAGAGACAGAAGTGCGGGCCTGGGGACAGGGGAGGCGGGCTGTGTCCCCTCCAGTCAGCACCGAGTCTTCCCACCCTTGGAGGTGCCTGCTGCAGCCCCCTGTCAGAGTCACCCCACCTGAGACCTCTGGGGGTCAGGACAGCTGCAAACCAGTGGGCCCAGCACCCCTTCAAATCCTCTGGTGTGAGGGTTGGGAACAGACCACCCAGCCCTTTGGGAGCCAGATAACTCATGGCACCATCGTCCTGGGGAGGAGCAGCACCAATCACAGCCCTGCACCTTGGTGACAGTGCCGAGAGCGCAAGGCACAGATGGGTCTGGCAGGTGGGAGTTCGGAGGCCCTAAGGGCCTGAAGGTGTGGATTTCTTCTGGTGGAGCCCCAGGGGAGCCTGCAGAGGGGCCCATGGGACAACCAGCTTGCTCAGGGCTGACCCTGGATGACCCGCCCTGGGCTGCCACTGCCCCCAGGGGCCGGGTGGGGCCTGCACATGGGAACTGGTGCATGTGACCAGTGGTCCTAAGGGGTTTTCCTGGCAGGACCCAGGGTGACACCACCACCGCCAGCCTGCTGTCGTGGGGCTCACCCGTTTAGCCCAGCAACACCCAGGACCCAGCCAGGGTCCCCATCATGACACTGACCTCTGTCCTCTATGGCCTTCCTGGCCTGGCCGCTGCCTCACCTCCCACTCTGGAACCCACCCAAGTGCTCCACACCAAGTGCCCGCCCTCCCCTGGTGACCATTACACCACTGAGCACCAGTGGCCTCTGCCTGGCTCCCGCGCCCTGGGGCCCATGGGCCCCAGAACGCCCCACGGCCCTGGACTGGTGGGAAGTGAAGTCAGGGCCCATTCACTCCCAGGGGCACTGCCTGTGCCCTGTGAGCAGCGCCCCGCTGGGCCGCACCCAGGTAACCCACCTGTGCCTCCACCCAGCCCTGAGCCTGAGGCTATGGCCCAGTTCTGCGGGCGTGGGCTCTGCAAAGGTGCCCTACCATAAGAAGGTAACCAGAGTGCTTAGCATACAGTTGGCGCTCAATGAAGTGTGGGGAGAGCATAAACGAGTCTGCCCAGCCCTGTGGAGCTGCAGGTCAGAAGGGCCCAAGGGCATCCTGGCACAAACCACATGGGTTAAACCTCAGTTTCTGCCTTGGTTCCAGAGGCCAGCTTGTGGGTCCCCGTCCTGGGGTCTAGGTCTGCTGAGGGTCCAGATTGAGGGCCCCACCTCAAGGAGCTGGCCCTGGCAATTGCAGAGAACGGACCTCACACCATCCCCAGCCCATCAGCATTCGTGCCTTAGGGGAGACACTCAGAGTGGCTGGGAGATGCACCCCAACAGGAACAACTCACAAAGACCCCAAGCCTGCCCTGCTCCAGGTGTGCTTCACCCAGCAGGGCTGCCGGGGCTGCTGGGGCCCCTGTTGGAACTCGGGGACCAGACATAGGGCCCAGCCCCTGCGTTTTCCTGACACCTCAGGGGAGCTGGACACTGGGTTTCCCCACCCACCAGCAACACGTGCACAGGCTCACATGAGTACCAGCTCACACGAGCACACTTCTACACACGTGTGCTGCACACTTGCACAGGCACACGTATGCATATGTGAACACAATCACTCACACACACTGTACTCCCTCTCCTCGGGCTTGGCAGACCCCATGCCCCTGACCTGGGCGCCTAAGCCATGTGTGCCCCCGAGTCAGCAGCAGCGGGCAGACCTGGAGGGGGTGGGGAGCCAGATGAGTGGGAGGGAGAGCCTGGGGGGCAAGCTGGACAGGGGATGGGAGGCTGGTCAGTGCTGCGCCACCCCATGAGGCTGGGCAGTGGTGGCCCCCAGCTGGGCAAGGGCCAGGACAGGGCGCCTGGGACAGAGCCTGGGTGGTCACTTGGTGCCTGCCTGGTAGGAAGTGGAGTGAGTTCTTGGTGGTGCCCGAGCAACTTCTGCCTGGCACAGAGGAGCAACCCACTTAGGGCAGGAGGCTTTTCCACAGTGCCACACATAGCAGGTCGTCCCATCAGGGCCACCACAGTCTGGCAGCCCCCCTTCCGGGGCACCTCATTCCCAGGTTGCCAGTGGAGGCTGTGCATGGTGGTGCTGCCCCCCAGAGCCCGAGGGGCCCCTGCCCTGGGCTCAGGGCTGGCTCAGCACCCATCCTACCTTGGCAGGCCTGGCCCCGGGAGGGTCGGTGGGGCCGGGTGGACGTGGCCCCGGAGGCCCACAGCTCCTGCAGCCAGGCGGTGGCAGCAGCGTCTGGTTTCCTAGGTGATGACATTGGAGTCAGGGAGGCTGGGCGGCTGTGTGGCCAGCCTGGAGCCCAGGGCAATCTGGGGGCGGAGCGTGGCCCGGAGCCCTGGGCCAGGAGCCTGCCAGCAGCTTGCACGTGCCAAACTGCCCTGACCCAGACCCGCCTCCTCACAGGGGACTTTGGCCACAGTGCACCAGATATCTCCACTCAGCAGCTGGGACAGCGGCAGTGGAAGGGGCTGTCACACCTGCCCGTCTCTGCTCCCCACGGCCAACGTTACACAGGATCCCATGAGCCAGGCACAGCACCTGCCTGCCTCTCACTTTCCCTGTATCCCTGGAGCATTAAGAGCTGGTCCTGTGTATCATTTTCCTTCCCTGCAGTACGCCTGGATGTGCTTCCAACAGATAAGGGCTCAGCCTCCTAACTGGGAGATCAGGTCTGGGCTGCAGCTCAGGGGCAGTGCTTGCCTAGCATGGATGAGGTCCTTGGTTCAAGTCCCGGTACCAGGGAAGAAAAATTAGCCCCTTTTCCCCAAATGAATGTAGGCATTATGCATCACAAATGTGTATCAATAAAAAATATAAAAACATTAAGTCTAAAGGTGTAGGGAAGGTGGGACAGGTAGGGGAAGGGTAAAAAGGGAAAAGAAAAAAATGTGAGATAATGAAAAGATGGAAATAAAGTGGTTGTAGATGGGGAGGGGAGGAGGGGGTGAAGGGAGGGCAGGGACAAGGGAAAAAACAAACAAACAAACAAACAAAAAACATTAAGTCAAAGCATGGAAATACTGATGTTCATCTGCTTTTGTCCTACAGCAGCTATGCTGAATTCTGAATTTCCAAGCCCAGGTTTTTCACTGCCAGTAGAGGACTTTGAGGACCACTCCACACCAGCCTGGGGAGATAGATCCGTGTCATCTTTCCTGTCCCACCACCGCTGTACCACAGAAACCTCAGGCCAGCTCTGAGCAGACTTGGCCACAGGGACTTTGCAGATGGCATGAAGGTAGGGTCTTGACATGGGGACCAGTCCAGGTGGACCAAGGTAATGGCAGGGTCCTCAAAAGAAGGAGGTCAGAGATCAGAGAGGAGAAGGCACCACCTGCCACCTTGGGAGACAGGAGATGCCAGGAGCCTCTGGGAGCTAGAAAGGCCTGGCAGGGGGCCTGTCCCCTAGCACCTCCCAGAGGAACCAGCCCTGCCTAGACTTCAGCTCAGGATCAGAGTCCTGACCTCCAGTCTGACCACCAGGGCAGCAGAAAGCGCATGGATATCATAAGCCACTGAACTACAGCAGCCACAGCAATGTACACAGTGCCACAAAAGATGAATTTGGGGGCTGTGGCCTGCATTGATTTCCATCTGGGTGCCCTGTGCATGGAGCACTTGTGCCCGAGACTCTGCATGATACCCAGTGCAGGAGGCTGTGTAGGGTGACACTCCCAGGCCAGACACAGGAAGGGAGGTGAGTGGGACCTAGCACCAGGACGCAGGCCCCCACCTGCTCCCCAGGGCCCTGAGGCCCTCTGAGAGATGCTGGCCAGTGTGCCTGGGCTCTTCTCAGCTCCCTGGGCTGGCAATGGGAATACAATGTGGCCCCCAGCTGTGAGTGGGGTGCTCAAGGAGGAGCTCAAACCTCTCCACCCTGAGGCACCGGCCAACTCTGACCTTTCTGCGCCTCTTCACCAGGACTCGGGATCCAGGGTGCGGTCTCCCCACAACAAGGTCCTCACTGAACCACAGTCACTTTGGCCAGGTGAGAGACACAGCCACAGCACAGGGATTGAGTGTGAACCCTGGGAAGTTGATTCTGTGCCAACTGAAGACACTCTCAGGCAAAGATCTGTCTTCTGAGTTGGGCATGGGGGAGGGCGGGGTGCATGCCTGTAATTCCAGCACTGAGGGAGGCTGAGGCAGGAGGATTGAAATTTCAAGTCCCCCAAGGTGACTTATTAAGACCTAGTCTGGAAATTTTTGTTTTGTTTTTGGTACAGGGGATTGAACTCGGGTCATTGCGCTTGCAAGGCAGGCCAGAACCGCCGAGCTAAATCCCCAACTAGTCTGGAAATTTTTTAAAAAGGGCCAGGGATGTAGCTCCATAGTAGAAAACTCCTGAGTTTGATCCCTGGTACCAAAGAAAGAAAGAAAGATCTGTCTTCTGTGCCCCATGTGCAGGTCTGCACAGGACTGTAATATTGACTATGCCCAAGGCAGGCTGTGAAGTCAAACCCACAAGTGGCTTGGTTTTTGTTTGTTTGTTTGTTTTTTGGTACCGGGGATCAAACTTGGGTCCTTGCACTTGCAAGACATGCGGAGGAATCACTGAGCTAAATCCTCGGCCCTACAACTGGCTTGTTTTGAGAAGTCTGGTTAAAGCCTTGAGTGGAGGTCAGAGTAACTCGCACCCAAATTCCATTCCCACAACTAAAACCTCCGGACTAGAAGGACAGTGTTCTAATTGCAGCCATATATTTTGTCTATTCAGTTCCTAATTCGAGAACGCCTTGTCTTGTCCTTTGTGAGCCTTGTTTACATTCACTTCCGTAGAAACTGCACATAGCTTGCCTTTATCCCAACTGATAGCCAATAAAAGTCAGGGCCCAGGACTGGCCAGTGCCTTTGTCGGTTGCACTGGCATTGGTCGTCCTGGCCCTTCTGTCTCTTAGTGTATTTATTTCTCAGGCCTGCGTTGCACACTGGGCAGGTGGGGACTGGAACTGACAGCTCATGGCAAGAAGCCCATACGATGTTTGCCCACTTCTGAGCTTGAGGGCTGCCTGTAGTGGCCCATTCCTGCTCAGAGCACATGGGACAGGCATCTCCCAGGTCGGAGGTCACCCTGGCTTCAGCCACAGCCAGAAGGGGACACCACCCTGTCTGCCTTGGTCAGACCCACCCTTGGGTGCTGGCTGCAGCTGCTCCCATATGAGGTGAGTTCTGAGAGTGCCTGGAGTCCAATGTGGGCACAGCAGGTTTTGCTTCTGGTGCCCCACTGAGCATTTACAATATTAATGTCAGTTTCCTGCTATCACCATGAAGGAAGCTGTCGCCTTCATTCATGGATGAGGAACTAAGGCATGAAGCAAGAGATTTACCCACAGCCAAGGAGCTCGATCAGCACAGATGGAAACAAGGACAGCACTGCCCACTGCCCAGCACCTGTCCCCAGCCATCCATGACTCCGCCCTTTGGGGACCCCAAAGAGGCTTGAGTGGGGGTCTTCACCAAGGCCCAGTGGCTGGGCTGTAGTCTGCTGGGCCTTCTCTGGCCAAGCAATTGCCCCTTGAGGTTGCCTGATAGGGACAGGGACAGTCTTGGGAACAGGCACTGGGGTGCTAGGAGACGCCATCCGTGAAGGACTCACACTCAGACAGAAACACACTCTGCCCAGGTGGCCAAGACCTGTCCCCACCTGGCCCCAACACCAAAGCAGGCGGCCTTGGCTCGGGGCTCGGCCTGCGTCTGAGGTCGAGAGCCCTGCGCCCCCGCGTGGCTCTGAATTCGTGCTCGTGGTCAGCAGCCCGCTTCCTGTTCACACTGTCTGACTGCGGAGTGGAAACCTCCGGGCACTCACTCAGCCACTCAGCCACTGGTGGCTCTGGGGGTGGAACCCAGGGCCTCACACGCTGGGCAAGCAATCTGCCATGGACCTACAGAAGCAGCCTTGGATCTCGGCTCTGAGCAACATCACTAAAAGGTAGGGCCTGGTTCCCCAGTTTCCAGGAGAAGGCATAGGAAACAGTCAGCGCTCAATAATCAACAGCAGATGAACAAGTGAAGTCCTAAGTGAGCTCCACCTGGCGCAGCCCCATGGCCCCTTCGCTAACTCTGGAAGCCCATGCCCTCAGGAAGCCCCAGGCCCTCTCTTCTTCAGAGCAGACAGGCGGCGCCGGGCTGTGTGGCCTGAGCTTCTACCAGGGCAGCTGCAGAAATTCGAGGGAGCCGGCTGTGGGCTGCCTGTCCCAGACCTCAGAGGTGCTGCACACTCAAGTCGGAACGCCTACAAAGCCAAGGCCAGAGCGGGGGCCCAGGGAGGGGCCTGCAGGTACTCGGCCCTCCTCTCTTGGAGGCAAAGCCTAGAAAGGGCACGAGTGGGCACAGAGCCGAGCCCACTGCCACTCATCCCAAAGGTGCCGCACCCACCTCGGCTGAGCCGCCCACTGTGGGCACTGACAAAATGGTCAGCGGAGTTCTACCCCATGGCTCATACTCAGGAAAGCTCCGGATCCAAATATGGCAGCAGGTCCAGGTAGGGCTGACTGGGTCTCACACCCACCCCTCCCCAGGCACTGGGATGGGGAAGAAGGGAAGAGAAACCGATGGAGGGAGGGAGCGAGGCAGAGGGGCAGAGACTGATTTGCTTTCTGCAGGACGGGAGACAGACCCCAGGGCCTTTACACTGAGCTGCATCCATGGCCATTTTTTATTCTTTCCTTTGAGACAAGGTCTCACTAAATTGCTGAATTGCCCAAGCTGGGCTTGAACTTGTGATCCTCCAGCCTCAGCTTCCCAGTGTGATTCCAGGCGTGTGCTGGGATTCCAGGCATGTGCACTGAGCCTGGCTCTGAAGGGACGTGTCAGGCAGTTACAGCAGATCTGCCCACCCAGGACCCTTCCTGTCCCTTGTTTTACGTAAACGACTGCACACTGCACCTTGGAGAGCAGACCCTCTCTGGTTCCTGTGTCCCTAAAACTCAGGCCAATCATGGAGGAACAGGCGGTGTTCTCAGAATTGCTTGACCTCCATCTTCTGACGGGCCAGCTTGCTATTTTTATCAGAATTCATCATTTTCACATTAATCCAATTAGTGTCCTGTTTACCAATGCCTCATTTTTAATTTGCAGCTTTATTCCGAAAGCTCAGGGACATTTTTGCAACGTGGGCCTCCTCCCTCATTACTGCCAAATAATTAGTCAGGGGCCTTGCCGATCAAAACTGAGGAGGAGCAGCAAGCCGGAGCATGCCTCACTCCGAAAGGGGGAGTGGCA